AGAAGGTGCTCCAGCGCTTCGATGATTTTTGTGGCCTCATCTGGACCCTCTGCAACAGGTCCATGTCCTTCTTGTGTTGAGGGCTCCAAAGCTGGTCACAGCACTCCAGGTGGGATCTCACAAGTGCAGAGCAGAGGGGCAGAATCCCCTCTCTCCATCTGCTGGCCACGCTTCTTCTGGATCAGCCCAGGATGTGACTGGCCTTCTGGGCTGCAAGCACACGTTGGTGGCTCATGTCCAGCAATGCCTGAAGGGAGTCCACCCTGCTAATTATTGGGAGCTATTGGTACCAAGAGTTCGTGAGCTGTGAGTTCTTCACCAGCATCTTATCGCTGGCTTGGCAGAGGAGACATGGATGAAATGCCACTTGGATTTCTTTCTTTTCTCTGGTTTGGGTCCCAGCGGATCAGTAGCCAGTCTCCATGTCAGCAGCTTGCTGGACAGAAGGTGGCTGATGCGCTGTGAAGCGGCAGCTCTTTTTTTGGATTCTGGCCTGCCCACGGCCAGACGTGAGAAAGGAAAGGTGGAAAAGCGGAGGGAGCTCCCGAGCGCTTATCTGTGTCCTTCGCACAGGAGCTGTTTTGAATTCCAGGCAGGGGGAGTTGTTTGAGCTCTCTCCTCATCTCACGCCTCTGTGGGAAGCGGGGCCTGGTGGATTTTGGCTCCTGCAACGCTCCCTGGGAGCGCAGGGCAGATCCCCAAAGCCTCACCACTGACCACGGTCCCATCCAGGACCCTGCTGCTTCCCTTCTGCTTGGTGCTGTCACACCACGGCGTGCAGCGTGATGCCAGCCAGCAGCAAGGGGAGGTCCCTCCTCGGATTCCCTGCGCAATGAATCTCACAAGCTTTAACATGCAGTGCTCAGAGCCTGATCTAGACTTGTAGTGGGAGCGAAGCAGCATCCCAGCGCCCCGCTCCTATAAAAGCATCAATGACACTTACTGGGATTGCTGGCAACAGTATTCTCCTCCAGCAGGACCCAGCCGTGGCATTTGCTGGCTCCCACAAAGGAGGCTTTTCTCCCAGCTTCCTTCCCTCATGCTTGGAGAAACCACGTTGAAAGCCCTTTTAGTTGCCAAGGGTACATTTAACAGCAAAGCTATTGGGGAATATAATATGCCTTGGAGAAGATCCCAGCTCTGTCTTGGTGAGCGGCTGATTGGGGAGTGATTTGATGGGTCTCTCTTCCTCCCTGAGGCTCAGTGTCACTTTAAATTTACAGCATCATTTGTTTGGCTGGTGGAGGTTTTTTTTTGGTTTTTCTTTTTTTTCTTATTACTTTGCATTTATAAACACATGAAAATCAAATTACGCTTTCAACTCAATTTGCTGCCAAGGCTGTGGCAGCTAAAGCAGTTCCTGGCTTGCTGTCTTTGCCCCTGAGGAGGGGGGTGGAAATGAGAGCCTTGAGATACTACAGAATCGTCCAATAATGGGGGAAAAGAGCGGGTGGTGGGGTTAAAAATAAGGGCCTTCCATTGTCGTGCCTCATGACAGAGGCTAATTCATTGCACTGAAGACGCAATTACAAAATCAGGCGTGTTATTTGGGGAGAGAGGATTTATTTACGGAGAAGCTTGTACAGAGAGGAGCAGCGTGGGGGCTCTGGTGCATTTCTTCCCCCTCAGCGTTTAAAGTCGGCTACGCGCAGAGGAAAGGTCGAGACCCGCGGGCAGATGGGCAACACTCCGCATCAGCAACAGGTTCTGCTCTCTGAGCTGAAATACACCTCAAGTAAGAGCAACTCGAGATCCCTGTGGGACTTGAAGTGGATTTCCAGGGGGGGAAGACACGCGGCTTTTTGCCAGCGTTTAGTCCTTTTAACCAACACCCAGCTGCCCATTAGGAAGAGTAAGTCAGGGATCCTACAGCTCCACGGCCAGCTGAAGTTAAAAGCAATTTCATTGAGTTACTTGATTGGAGGTGAGGACTGGAGAGGCAAAGGCAAGTTCAGCTGACTAATTAGTGTACTAATTTACTGTTAAGAAACATCTTCAGGTTGCATCACCCAGCTGCCAGAGGTCGTTTGTGCGTTAACTCCTCCACAGCCACCAGCAAAGGCAAAGCTGGGAGACGGTCCTCCAGATTCCTTGTGCCTCGAGGTCTTGGCTGTGCAAGGTGGATTTGTTGTGCACGGTCACGAAGATTATTTGGGATCTGCAGATCCACCTGCCTGGACCTAGATGTCACAGCCGGCCTGCTGAGGCACTGCTCTCAGTCTTTGGCTCTGCCACCACCACCAGAGACAACTCTGCCCAAGTACTGTTGGTCTTAATCAAGCACTTTTGATTTTAAAACGTTGGTTTAAACGTTGGCAGAGAGAATTGTGCTCCTGGGATGCCTCTTGCCACCTTTTCGGCCTCGGAGTTGAAATTGCTGCCAGGGACATACCAGGCATGCAGACATGCTGACCAAGGGCTGAGCTCCGACTCCTCTCAGGCGCTGAAGAAGGTGTCTGGTGGCATCTCTGGCCCGTTCCTTTGGGGTGAGGGCAGTGTGTCTGCTGCGCCTGGGCAGTCCCTGGCTAACAGACCCGACCTGCGCTGCCACAAGCAGCTGACCTTGATTTCCAGCTGTTGTGAGGTCTTCTGGAGCCTGGAACAGCTCCTGGTAGACCCGGATTTGACCGTCAACGAGTGGGTCTGTGTCTGTGCCCTTCTGGGTGCTGCATGCAGTTAGGGACGGATCGCTTGCAACCTCCTTCCGTGTTTTCTGCTAAATGCAAAGGTGAGAAATTGTGCAGAGCTGGTTCTGAATAAATAACCCGTGTGCCTGTGCTCACCCCTTGCAGGAAGGACATGTGCGCACCATCCAGACGCTGCTGTCCCTCGGCGCCGATGTCCACGCCAAGGATGCGAAGAGCCGTTCGGGTAAGGCGGCCGAGCTGTTTCTTCACCCTCTGTACGACAGCGAGAGCGCGCTTTAATAACCAGAGCCCAGCCTCCAAAGCCGTCCGCGCTGCGTCTGCTCGGTGGAGCATGCGAGGAGATGCCAGATGCATGTATGCAAAAGGCTCTTGGAGCAGTGAAGCCTGTTTTGGTTTTGGTTTTTTTTTTTAAATTTCTTTTTTTTTGCAGCTTTCATTCACTGACTCTCTTCTTGCCGGACTTTCTGATGCCTAATGGCGTGGTTGAGCTTCCACTAGGGCCTTTCCCTTGGGGGAAGAACAGAGACACTAATTGGGGTTTCGCTTTATGCGGCTGCTTATTTTGCATAAAACTTTCAGGAGGTTAACATCTTTGATACTGCTTCCTCGCCGTCACGTTTAGCTGAAATTAGCCAGTTTGAAATGGTTTGGGGGGGCAGACAAATACGGTGATTGCACAGGCTCTTCAGCCTCAGTGCTTTAGCAAACTGCCCAGGAATGGCTTATGAGCAAATAATAAGAGAGCTTGGATGTAAATATAGTTGCTATAGTAATGCCAGTGAGTTGGCATTCCCAGCGTGAGAGTCTGAGGCATCTCTTTACATCAGCGTCTCTCTCTCATAAAAACCTCTATACAAATGGTTTCAGCCATTGCCAGAATTGGCAACTTACCCAGTCTTCAGGTTTGCTTAATAACACGCTTCAGTGACGAGCGTCTCTCCCTCCACCCCCTCAGTGAGTAAATTCGAGCTCTGCTGAACTTGGGTCCAAGCTTGGGCCATTTGCGGCGACTCCTCGTGCCCGTCGGCCGCCCTCTTCCTCAGCATCTCTGCTGCCTTAGTGTCACCCCCTCTTTTCACCCCGACTCTGCTCCTGCAGAGCACCCTGCGCGGGTTATTCCTGAGGATCAGGATGCCCCACGGTCAGCATCAGCCTGCAACAAGAGCTGATGGCACTCAGCATCGTGGAAACCTTTCTCTTTTACTCTTTCTTACTTGAGGCTGAGGGGAGACCTTCTCGCTCTCTACAACACCTTGAAAGGAGGGTGCAGTGAGGTGGGGTCAGTCTCTTCTCCCAAGGAACAAGCGATAGGACGAGAGGAAATGGACTCAAGTTGTGCCAGACAAGGTTTACATTGGATATTGGGAAAAATTTCTTTGCTAAAAGAAGCATTGGAACAGGTTGCTCAGAGAAGCAATGGAGTCCCCACCCCTGGAGGTGTTCAAAAAATGTGTAGACGTGGCACTTGGGGACATGGTTTCGTGGTCATGATAGTGTTGGGTTGATGGTTGGACTTGATGACCTTAGAGCTCTTCTCCAGCCGTAATGATTCTGTGATTCTACTCTCTGACCCTGAAGTGAGGTGGCAGGGAGCCCCAGCCCGTGAAGGATTCTGGTCACATCCAGAGGAGTTTCAAGCCCCTCTCTTGCAAATCACTATTAAATCCATCCCAAACATGGAGCAGTAAGAAGCCTGGAAACCTTCCACTGTGTCCCACAGCCTCCTCCTCCTGCCTTGGACACCCTCTGCCCAGCCCTGCTGTGATCTCACACGGCTGCTTGCTGGGTGTTCCAGCTGGGAAAAGTCATCTTCCACCGACTTGGTTCCCTTCCCTGGGAAGCCCATGTTTGCATCGGAAGTGGGCTGAGGCTTTTGTTGGACCTAATGAGGTTCAACAAAGGCAAATGCAGAGTCCTGCACCTGGGGAGGAACAACCGCGTGCACCAGTATAGGTTAGGGTAGACGTGCTGAAAAGCTGCCCTGAGGAGAAGGATCTTGGGGTCTTAGTGGACAGTAAGTTAACCATGAGCACGAAATGTGCCCTTGTTGCCAAGAAGGCCAGTGGCGTCCTGGGCTGCATTAAGAAGAGTGTGGCCAGTAGGTCGAAGGAGGTCATCCTCCTCCTCTGCTCTGCCTTGGCGAGGTCACATCTGCAGTGCTGCGTCCAGTTCTGGACTCTCCAGTTCAAGAGAGACGGGGATCTGCTGGAGAGAGTCCAGTGGAGGGCAACAAACGTGACTGGGGCGCTGGAGCATCTCTCTTTATGAGGAAGGGTTGACAAAGCTGGGACTATTTAGCCTGGAGGAGAGAAGGCGGAGAGGAGACCTTATCCTTGTCTGTAACTTAACAGGGTTGACGGGGCTCTCATCTGGTTAAAGATGTCCCTGCTCACTGCAGGGGGGTTGGACCAGATGACCTCTAAAGGTCACTTCCAACCCAACACATTTCGTGATTCTGTGATCCAGTGAACTATCTGAAGGGTGAGTGCAGGGAGGATGGAGCCACACTCTTTTCAGCAGTGCCCAGTGACAGGACAAGGGTGCAAGCTGAAGCATAGAATCACAGAATCACAGAATGTTGGGGGTTGGAAGGGACCTCTGAAGATCATCCAGTCCAACCTTCATCCCAGCACACCCAACCACTACACCAGAGCCTCAAGTGCTAGATCTACTTTTTTTTTTAAACACCTCCAGGGTTGGTGACTCCACCACCTCCCTGGGCAGCCTGTTCCAGTGCCTCACCACTCGTTCAGTAAAGAACTTCCCCCGAATATCCAATCGAAACTTACCCTGACGCAACTTGAGGCTTGTTCCCCTTGTCCTGTCATTAGTAATTAGAGAGAAGAGACCAGCACCAGCCTCACTACAGCCTCCCTTTAGGTAGTTGTAGAGGGCAATAAGGTCTCCTCTCAGGTTCCACGTAAACGTAAGGAAAAGCTTTTTCACTGAGAGCACTGGAGCAGGTTGCCCAGGGAATTTACAGATTCTCCATCCCACCTGGATACATTCCTGTGTGATGTGCTCTGGGCAACCTTGTTTTGGCAAAGGAGGTTGGACTAGATCTCTAGAGGTCCCTTCCAACCCCAACGATTCTGTGAGCACGCTGGGCAATCTCAGCTCCTGCCTCGACGTCCTCTCTCCCCCACAGCCCTGCATGCAGCCTGCGCTGGGCAGCAGGCGGACGCCGTACGGATCCTGCTCCGCGCCGGGCTGCGGGACGCTCCTGATGGCACGGGCACGCTGGCGCGGCAGCTCGCGAGGAAGCCAGATGTCATCCAGGTTTTTCAGGAAATGAATGTCGGCGCGTGAGACCAACCGGGAGAAAGCGAAGCACGTTTCATTTCAGTGTGGTACGTTAGTTATCACTTCACAACTATTAAGAATTAAGCGAAGGCCTGTTTGAAATGACAGGGCTTTTTTTTTTCCCCAAGAGTTGAGCCCAGAAACTGAGCTTGATGCTTGGAAAGTATGTTTAGGGGAAAACATACTTTAAATAGGATTATCTCAAAAAGATAATGGGCGTGAAAAGCACATTTTAAATAAGAGCATCTCAAAAAGATATTGGGTGTGATGGGTCTGGGCTGTTGCACCCTTGCACTGATCTTCTATCATTGTAAATTTATGGCTCTTTTTTAACTTCCAAATTTCAGGCCTGAACTTCATCTCTCCTTGTGCAGCACCCAGCGAACAGCTGAGGCCGTGGCACCCTGAAGTCCAACCAGGACAGGGAGTCTTCAAGCTGCATCGACCTATAAACCTCCTTTCCGTGGCCCAAGCCTGCTGAAACCAATAGTAAGACCTCAACCTTGTGAGGACATCAAGGGACTTTGGAGCAGACTGAAAAAAAGAAAAAAAAGAAGTATTTTCTTATCCCAGACAGCACCACTTATGAACTTTAAAAAAAATTAAAAAATCTGCTCTTTGAAGTGTCTAGGGAAGTGGCTAAATATGTAATGTAGCCAGTAAGAGCGTTAACAGCCTGGAATACACATAAAGGTAAGAGCTGCTGTAGCCGTTTGGTTTGTTTGTATCCACCTGGAATTATAAATTGGGTTTAGCACAGAAACGTGGCGCATCCCTGTCTGTACATAAAACCAAGACCTAAAAACCAACGGGATTCTGTGCTTTTGGCCGTGGCAGATGCTGAAAATCGGCCGGGCCTCTGACTGAGCGAGCAAGCTTAGGTTTTGCTCTGCCTGAGTTGTGGTGCTCGTGTTCTGGTTTGATCCACAACCCACGTGCTCCTGGCTGGGTTTAAAGGTGATGCTGAGCTCCCTTTGAGAAGTTCTCGTCTCGCGGACCCTGGAGCGGAATTTGTTGGAGCAATCTTGAGCCACAACAGTTGCTGCGCTCGAGCCGAACGGCTTTTAGGGCAGGGTTAGAGCCTCCTCCTCTCTGCCAGCTCGTTGCAAGAGGAGAGGCAGCGCGCTTCCAGAAATAATTTGGGGGCTGACAGCTTGCAAGAGGGGCAGAGGCACGGCTCGGTAGTATCTTAAGACTCTTCTAAACACGCCTGCAAAGATCTGCTTTTTTTGCCAGTCTTCCCTTGTGGTTTTTTCTCCATCTGTGAAGGAGATTCTTCTCCAGCCGTGAGTTAAAAATGAATTCATGCTGGAAGGTGCTAACGATGCAGGGTGGTGGAAGCCGTATCAGACTTTGCGCGGGCAAGGAGGTGGCTTTATTCCTCTAAAGAATCCTGAATCCTTCCATAAATCCAGCTCAGGCCTCCATACAGCAAACAGCAATACTGCATACCGATAAATGCAAGGGGTTGCTTTATTCCCACTTTTCATGATTTTAGCAAACCACAAAGTAGCTGTTTCCTCCCAATATCCCTGCTAATGAGCTCTGACTGCTTGTGAGTCTAAGCTTTTATGAGAAAGCAAGTGAGAATGTTTTCCAATATCTGTCTTTAGCTTTCCTGGCCCTGGCAAACGCCTTGAAAACATGAAAGGGAATTTGCATTATTTTTTAAAGGTGCTTTATGATTTCTGAAAACTTCTGGACAATAGCAGAGGGCCTGTTCACCCAGGACAACTGTGCTCTAGTCCAAAAGTGAGACATAACAGTATGTCTCCGGCACTGTAATTTATTTACCCGTCTTTTAAATCCACCCCTCAGGCAATGAGAAGGTGCACAAAAACACACCGTTGTTACCGCAGATTATCAGGTACAAAAGAAAGTCAGAAAAGGGACATGGATTTTGATGTACACCTGCAAAATTATCTTGGGGAAGAGCCCTTCTTGCTGGTTTTGCCGTTGCTCAAGTCACTGCAAGGTAGGAGCAAGGGGTCAGGACCTCCTGGTGTTTCAGCCGTGCAGAAGACCTAACGCCTTCGTCTTGTACGACGTGGCTGAGGTACAGCCATGGCGAGGAGAAGCACCTGGACGGGTAGGAGGTAACATTGCAACACTGTCAGGGCTCACTGGGAGACCCTACAGGAAGGGAAGGTGTTTCAGTTGTAAATAAAATGGATTTTGCTCCGGCGTTCGCACCGTCAGGCCCCGCCAAACTCACGAGCACCAAGACACACGCGCCTGGGTGATCTAGCTAGGTTTCCTCGTGATGACACTGAGGGACTCCATCTCTTGCGTCCTCATCTCACCTGGGCTCTCCTTCAGTTGGTGAGCATGTACCGGTTTTACATGTGCCTTTTCGTGCCTTTTAGGAGCTGGCAGCATTTTTTAATCCAGCCCGTTCCCCCTTCTCTGTGAGTTACAAGGATTCGCTCCCTGACAGTTGTCTCTCAACCGTGGTGTCCCAACTAGCTGGTGGCAGGTGTGAGCCAACATCTTGAGAACCTGCTCACCAAGGCGCATCACCACCAACTCTTCTGCCGTCTCCCGCTCCCACAGCCAGACCCTCCTGCTCAGTGGTTGTCCAGGCGAGTCTTGATATTTCTACTGCAGGTACATCCATATGGACGCTGCTCCAGTCCTCCAAGCCAAGCTCCTGCTGCCAACGAGCCCGTCTGTCCGCTCCTGAGCTTCTTGGGTGTCGCTGACTTGTCCAACACGCTAACACAGACCGGTGCTTGCCTGATGCTCGCAGATGTGATGACGAGACCGCTCTGTGCTACCAACTGTCCACCAGCACCCTGTAAACGAAGGTATATTTTTATTTTTTTCTCACCTGAGCGTGAACGAGTAAGACGCAGAGCCCAGCGCATACAGAGCCGTCTGTTGATGAGCACCCTTCTCCCGTGACGCCGCAGGGCTGGTGGATCCATATTCCCCGGGGACCGTGCGGCTGCCTTCGTCTCTCTGAGCTTTGATCCTCCAAATATTAAAGTCACTTAAAAGGAGCCACTTAGTTCCTCATCTAAACCACCACGACGGAGTTTCCGCCATGTGATGGAGCTTCATCCAGTTCTCCATCTACCCCGGCGTGCGGCCCTCTCTGTTGTGTGTCCCGGTAGATACGGGGAACTCAGCCCTGTGATCAAATTAAGATATCTTGAGCCCTGCACGTGTCTAATCCACGCCAATGGCCCCGAGGCGTGTAAGCAGCTTTGCCGCTGCCTACGTGCTCCCTCCCCGGCTCGCTCCCCTTCCCCGGGTCGCTGATCCACGGGGCGTTAAAACCAGCGTGCGGCCGGGAAATTCCTGCCTCGCTTGAAGGAAACAGTGGGTGGCAGAGACTGGGTAGCGGTGAGGATTTAAAAAAAAAAATAAATCCAACCCTATTAAATGCCAGAAAAGAAAAGAAAAAAAAAAAAAGCAGCCCCAATAAAAGGCAAGAAAAAAAAAAAAAAAAAAAAAAGCAGCTCAAACCTTCTCGAAAACGCGCTGGCTTCCGCGCGTCGTCGCTGTGCCGTGGTTTTGCGGCAGCCGGGGTGGGGTGGGGGGGAATTGCTGCACCACGTGCGATCCTGAATGAGAGCAAAAACTCTTCTTTGCATGTCTTGGGGTGAAAAGGGGGAAATCGAAGAGATGACAAGAAGTGAAACCTGAGCTGGGAAGTAGAAACGCGCCGTAGTTGTCATCGTATGTTGTGTGTGTGTTC